GGTGATGTTTGCCGTCGCATTTCTTCTCAAAGGGAGTGGGCGCGAGCAGCAGAAAAAGGGAGCGGAAGCATTGAATAGTACGGCAGTAAAGCAAAACGGAACGAAACGGCCAAAGAAATAGGGTCCTTATTAACCGCTCCAATCAGAAAGTGTACGAATCTATGCCTGATCATTGGGGGCAGTGTGAAACAACCACGGCGACAGCACTACTTCATGGGAACCCATTATTTCAAGCGATAGCAAACGTCACGCCGTTATCGGCAGGGGTACCTAATAGGAATAGGACATATTAATGACCTTTTTAGGAAGCGGCTGTGAAAAGGTGAAAAAAGCCAGAAATGTTAAACAAGTCCAAAACTTCAAAACCGGCACTGAATGCGAGAAAACCTCGCACCCTAGCAAAGAAAGATCCCCTTTCAGTACCATCAAAAACTAAAACTCTTCAAAAAGAGTTTTGGAGAAAGGAAAAGCGCCATTCAATCGCAGATTATGTGCGAAACGGCTGATCCGATCGTGAACAATTGCTGATCGGTGGGGCCATTCGTGGGCGTGGTGTTGACGGGGGTACGGATGGGTATGTTAGTCCTTGCTGGGATGCTTAGAGACCGTTTTTCGTTGGGAAAGACACCTGCAACGCCTGCTCAGGGCCTTGTAAGGGTATCTGATTGACGTGTTCATCGTGCATACCTAGAGAATTTATCGTGCCCACTGCCTTTGAATGACTCTGTGATTTCAAAATGCAGTTGATTCTTGAAGAGGGATTGGTCAGCGTTGAGCGCTCATCCCATCTTCTCTCTGACGAGGTACCTACCCAACGCTTTCAACTGCGCTGAAAACGGAATTTCACTGAGACGGTACTTAACCACGACAATTTTTCATTATTTATTTATTAACATGGGAATCACTCCGTAAGCCATAACTAGCTAGGTGATGTTTGCCGCCATACTTCTACATTAAGTTAATCCCTAAACAAGCGCAGACCTCTGCTGCTAAATCTTCTCATGTCTTGGTTGTTTTTTGTATTGATTCGGCTTCGTTTTCATAAATTTCTCTGCCGCGGCCAAATATTCTTTTCAGACATCATCATTGCACTCTCACACGAATTACTTTCTCGCCTCGTTAGCTATTTCGGACTTATTATTAATTATCGTCGGTGTACCTTTTGATCTTTTCCATTTATGGAGAAAAGACCGTCCACCAGCGATTGCAGGATACTGTGCAGTAATGAGTGAGTTACAAGACTTTCCTGTTTTCATTACAAAACTCACCCAAGCAAATTTTTTTCAGGCACCTCAATATCATTATTTACTTTCGCTTCAATCTTAACTATTGTATCATTGACTGCTGAGCGTTTCGTAGCCATTTGCTACCCATTTAGCCATCGAGCAATATTCGACAAACGACGGTATCTGTAGAACATTTTTTTCAGAATTCAAATATTTTCGAGATACACCCCCATAGATTTAATCGATCCATCACATTTTTTGTCCCTAACAAAAGCCATGATACTGAAGGTCATCTTCTTCTAAGGCCGTCCTCGAAACACACTCAGCATGAAGAAAAAGATCCTCTTGAATTTGACAGCATGTCGCCGTCCAAGAGCCAGTGAGTATCCATACCCCTCGGGAGGTAGCAGGTGCAAACTGTAGATACAATTGAACCACTGAGACAGCCCAGATCTCGATCCCCTTTCGCAGCCTTCCTTTTATGTCCGTTAGGTCCGTTTTGGCTTCTCCAACTTAGCCTTAGAAGCGCTCTCATTCACGCGCCGCGCCATGTGCATTATCGGGAAGGGCGAATCATGAGGGGAGAGCTAAATACGTGGTTGTTACTCCGAACATGGACCACTAATGGGAATGAACTCCCTCCACCTCGTGACCACAGGATTGTTCGTTACGGATGCTGACGTCTTAGGGGTCTCTGTTTGGCCTTCTTGTACTGTACTCGCGAGGTGGAGAAGTTCACGCGGAGTCTTGCCTGGGTTCGGTTATTTTTTTACCTTTCGTAATCTTAATCAGTAACTCAATCTCAATCGTTTGCTTCTCAGTGAAAGGACGCACACAAGCAGACATGCCATAACATAGTGAGGCAGTTGTGTGCCACTCCCCCCCCCCCCCACCTCAATTAATCTTGCATCGCACGTTGTTTTGCAGCGTCGCTTTTTTCTAATCCATTTCCTCCGAAGT